TATCCACCTTGGGTGTATATAACCTCACAATGTATGTATCCACCTTGGGTGTATATAACCTCCCAGTGTATGTATCCACCCTGTGTGTATATAACCTCACAGTGTATGTATCCACCTTGGGTGTATATAACCTCAAAATGTATGTATCCACCTTGGGTGTATATAACCTCACAGTGTATGTATCCACCTTGGGTGTATATAACCTCACAGTGTATGTATCCACCTTGGGTGTATATAACCTCACAATGTATGTATCCACCTTGGGTGTATATAAGCTTACAATGCATGTATCTGGCTTGTGTGAATGTATCCACTTTGAAGAGCATTCAAGCGTGACACCCACATAATACTCCAGCAGCCTCAGCATGCTGAAGTGATTTGATGCAATATCTGTGCCCAGAAGAGTCACGAGCGCTGGCGAGTATTGGGGTAAAAAGTTAAACGACTTTCCAGTTCTTTTGTAAAGTTTATGGCTAAATGGTTATAGTACTGGACATGCCAAGGGGCACGGAGGCCCTGGCTGACCGGGTTCGAATGCTTCGAATCGAGTTTTCTGATGCATGTTGGCTTGGCTATCATTCAAGCTTGTTGCATACACACACACACACACACACACACACACACACACACACACACACACACACACACACACACACACACAAAGCCTTTGTGTGTGATATGATTTGTGAAAACCAAAGAAAGCCTTTGATACAGTACTACACAAGAGGCTAATGAAAAAGCTGGAGATGCAGGCCGGTGTGAAAGGGAAGGTACTCCATTGGACAAAAGGAGCACCTGAGCAACAGGAGACAACGAGTCAGTGTGAGGGGTGAGGTCTCAGATTGGCGAGACGTTACAAGTGGAGTCCCGCAGGGGTCAGTCCTTGGACCTATACTGTTTCTGATAAATGTAAATGATCTCCCAGAGGGTATAGAATTGTTTCTCTCAATGTTTGCCGATGATGCAAAAATTATGAGGAGGATTGAAACAGAGGATGATAGTAGGAGGCTACAAGATGACCTAGACAGACTGAGTGAATTGCTGTTGAAGTTCAACCCGAGTAAATGCAAAGTAATGAAACTAGGCAGTGGGAGCAGGAGGCCAAACACAGGATACAGAATAGGAGATGAAGTACTTAATGAAACGGACAGAGAGAAAGATCAAGGAGTTGATATCACACCAAACCTGTCTCCTGAAGCCCACATAAAAAGAATAACGTCTGCGGCATATGCGAGGCTGGCTAACATCAGAACACCGTTCAGGAACCTGTGTAAGGAATCATTCAGAATCTTGTACACAACATATGTAAGACCAATCCTGAAGTATGCGGCCCCAGCATGGAGCCCGTATCTTGTCAAGCATAAGACGAAGCTGGAAAAAGTTCAGAGGTATGCCACTAGAATAGTCCCAGAACTAAGAGGCATGAGTTACGAGGAAAAGCTGCGGGAAATGCGCCTTACGACCCTGGAGGACAGAAGAGTAAAGGGAGACATGATCACAACCTGCAAAATCCTCAGGGGAATCGACCGGGTAAACAAGGATAAACAATTCAACACTGGTGGTATGCGTACAAGGGGACACAGGTGGAAACTGAGTACCCACATGTGCCACAGGGACATTAGAAGGAACTTTTTCAGTGTCAGAGTAGTTAACGGATGGACTGCATTAGGCAGTGATGTGGTGGAGGCTGACTCCATACACAGTTTTACATGTAAATATGATAGAGCCCAGTAGGCTCAGGAACCTGTACACCAGTTGATTGACCGTTGAGAGGCGGGACCAAAGAGCCAAAGCTCAACCCCTGCAAGCACAAATAGGTGAGTACACACATACATACACACACACACACACACACACACACACACACACACACACATATATATATATATATATATATATATATATATATATATATATATATATATATATATATATATATATATATATATATATATATATATATAATATATATATATATATATATAAATTATATATATATATATATATATATATATATATATATATATATATTATATATATATATATATATATTATATAGGGGACGGGAGAGTTTGGGATGGTGGGGACGAGTGGATGTGGGAATGGAGAAACATGGGGAGGACAAAGGGACAGGGGAGTGGGGCATGGTGGGAAGGACTAGGGGAGAGGGAAGGTTGCTGTGGCTCATGTGCTCAACGCACATGGGTTGTTGAACAGTGACTGCCCAGACAGGTACAAGAGGAGTGTTGTTAATGCTTATATCGACCGTGCTCTCAGCCACAGCTCAGGATGGAAGCAAATCGATGAAGAACTCTGTAGGGTAAGGCAGGTCCTAGTCAACAACGGCTTCTCCAATGGTTTCGTTGAAGACATCATAAGAAGGAGGGTGAAACATCATGCAACCTCTGAAGAGACCACTAACACAACACCTGTACCCCATATTAGACTATTTTACAGGAACTTCTTTTCCACAGCCCATAAAACGGAGGAAAGGGTCCTGAAAGATATTGTTAATAGGAACGTTATCCCTACAGACAAAAATCAGAAGATACAATTGACGATCTACTATAAAACCAAAATAACGGCCAGCCTACTCATGAAAACTCTCCAGACACAAAGCAGAATGCTTTAAAAGAGACCAACGTCGACAATGCCTTTAAATGCCCACTTGGGGACTGTAAGCCCAAAAGAACTCAGTATATAGGCAAGACATCTCTTTCCAGGCGATTAACAATGCATAAGCAACAGGGCTCCATTAGGGAACATATAATCTCTTCCCACAACTAGACCATCACCAGAGAAGTCTTAACAAACAACACAGAAATCATCGATAGATACAGCGATAGCAGGCGGCTTGACATCTGCGAGGCACTACACATCAAGAAGTCAACACCAGCAATCAACAGGCAATTAATGCATAACTATATTCTACCCACTTCAAGACTCCGTATCAATATAGAAGCATCAAGAGGAAATATAGGCCAATAGGCCCTTTGCAGTTACTTCCATTCTTCCCTTTCATCTATACCCCTTGAAGCGTGTTCTGTCTTGTATTGAAAGTTTGTTCACCTCATCCAAAACTGTTGTAACATATCACCTCACCCAAATGCGAGTATATAAGACAAAAGCTGTTTAAATATTAGCATAGTAAAACTCTGTTTAGTGTTTGCAAGTTATAGTTGTGTGTGTAAACTAAAGTCTTTGAAAATGTAATAATTTATTACGAAACGCGTTCAAGTGTCACGTCAGACTAGAAATTAAAATGAATTTTGGAGAATTGATTTTGGAATTACCATCAACAGTAAAAAGAAACATAAGAAATATTGAGAAAATTCGTTTTAGAATTATTAATCATACTTTTTCGGTCATATTTAACAACATATGTTTACAAGAAAGACTTCTACCAAAATATACTAATATATATATATATATATATATATATATATATATATATATATATATATATATATATATATATATATATATATATATATATATATATATATATATATATATATATATATATATATATATATATAGAAGATGTCTGCTATATACTCTGTTCATATAAAAAAAACATAAGCTATCCCTGTTTTGTTTTTGACAACTAAGGAAATTTGGAGTGTGTTTGGCTTTAACAAATGGTTCTGGTATAACGACATCCAATATGTATCTGTCAGTTAACTCAGACAAGAGAATAATTCTTTCATTCCTCTTTCAGCTGTAGACGACACGTCGCTGCATACAATGGAAAGCCAAGCAGGATAACTGTAGCTATCATGTTTTGTGAGTGAATGTGTGTATACATATATACATATATATATATATATATATATATATATATATATATATATATATATAGAAGTGGCACCACCTCTGGTGCAAGTGTAGGGACCCATAGCCTCGGAGAAGAAAATAAAGAGTACTCAGAGAAGACCTTGTGGATCCTCACTGAACACTTTGATATTTTCTTCTCCTACCACCCCTATTCTTTTGGTATGTGTGTATATTTATCTAACTTTATTTGAAAATATCATTACACAAAAAAAGTTACAATATTGATTACATGCAGGGTACAAGGCTGCTTGTCACAAGTTGAATAGCTCCTCCAGCTCCTCAGATGACGGGCAGGAGCCATGGATGCAGTGAGCATTTCCACTCTGGAAATGGGAGTGGGTCTCGTCGGCCCAATCTGGGGTTGGGGGAGTGGGTCTCGTCGTTGGGGGAGTCGGTCTCTGTCGTTGGGGGAGTGCGTCTCTGTTATTGGAGGAGTGGGTCTCTGTCGTTGGGGAAGTGGGTCTCTGTCGTTGGGGGAGTGGGTCTCGTCGTTGGGGGAGTGGGTCTCTGACGTTGGGGGAGTGGGTCTCTGTTGTTGGGGGAGTGGGTCTCTATCGTTAGGGGAGAGGGTCTTTGTCGTTCGGGGCGTGGGTCTCTGTTATTGGGGTAGTGGGTCTCTGTCGTTGATGAGTAGGTCTCTGTTATTAAGGTAGTGGGTCTCTGTCGTTGGGGGAGTGGGTCTCTGTCGTTGGGGGAGTGGGTCACTATCGTTGGGGGAGTGGGTCTCTGTTGTTGGGGGAGTGGGTCGCTGTCATTGGGGGCGTGGGTCTCTGTCGTTGATGAGTGGGTCTCTGTCGTTGGGGGAGTGGGTCTCGGTTATTGTGGAAGTGGATTTCTGTCGTTGATGAGTAGGTCTCTGATATTAGGGTAGTGGGTCTCTGTCAATGAGTGATTGGGTCTCTGTCTTTGGGGGAGTGGGTCTCTGTCGTTGGGGAGTGGGTCTCTGTCGTTGGGGGGTGGGTCTCTGTCGTTGGGTTAATAGGTCTCTGTCGTTGAGGGATGTGTCTTTGTCGTTGGGAAGTGGGTCTTTGTCGTTGGGTGAGTGGGTCTTTGTCGTTGGGTGAGTGGGTCTCTGTCGTTGGGTGAGTGGGTCTCTGTCGTTGGGTGAGTGGGTCTCTGTCGTTGGGTGAGTGGGTCTCTGCCGTTGGGGGAGTGGGTCTCTGTTATTGTGGAAGTGGGTTTCTGTCGTTGATGAGTAGGTCTCTGATATTAGGGTAGTGGGTCTCTGCCAATGAGTGATTGGGTCTCTGTCTTTGGGGGAGTGGGTCTATGTCGTTGGGGGGTGGGTCTATGTCGTTGGGGGAGTGGGTCTCTGTCGTTGGGGGAGTGGGTGTCTGTCGTTGGGGGAGTAAGTCTCTGTCGGTGGGGGAGTGGGTCTCTGTCGTTGGGGGAGTGGGTCTCTGTCGTTGGCGGAGTGGGTCTCGTCGTTGGGGGAGTGGGTCTCTGTCGTTGGGGGAGTGGGTCTCTGTCGTTGGGGGAGTAAGTCTCTGTCGGTGGGGGAGTGGGTCTCTGTCGTTGGGGGGAGTGGGTCTCTGTCGTTGGGGGAGTGGGTCTCTGTCGTTGGGTGAGTGGGTCTCTGACGTTGGGGGAGTGGGTCTCTGTTGTTGGAAGAGTGGGTCTCTGTCGTTAGGGGAGTAGGTCTTTGTCGTTCGGGGAGTGGGTCTTTGTCGTTCGGGGAGTGGGTCTCTGTTATTGGGGTAGTGGGTCTCTGTCGTTGAAGAGTAGGTCTCTGTTATTAAGGTAGTGGGTCTCTGTCATTGGTGGAGTGGGTTTCTGTCGTTGGGGGAGTGGGTCTCTGTCGTTGGGGGAGTGGGTCTCTGTTGTTGGGGGAGTGGGTCGCTGTCATTGGGGGCGTGGGTCTCTGCCGTTGATGAGTGGGTCTCTATCGTTGGGGGAGTGGGTCTCTGTCGTTGGGGGTAGTGGGTCTCTGTCGTTGGGGGAGTTGGTCTCTGTCGTTGGGGGAGTGGGTCTCTGTGGTTGGGGGAGTGGGTCTCTGTCGTTGGGTGAGTGGGTCTTTGTCATTGGGGAAGTGGGTCTCTGTCGTTGGGGGAGTGGGTCTCTGTCGTTGGGGGAGTGGGTCTCTGTCGTTGGGGGAGTGGGTCGCTGTCATTGGGAGCGTGGGTCTCTGTCGTTGGGTGAGTGGGTCTCTGATGTTGGGGGAGTGGGTCTCTGTTATTGGGGTAGTGGGTCTCTGTCGTTGAAGAGTAGGTCTCTGTTATTAAGGTAGTGGGTTTCTGTCATTGGGGGAGTGGGTTTCTGTCGTTGGGGGAGTGGGTCTCTGTCGTTGGGGGAGTGGGTCTCTGTTGTTGGGGGAGTGGGTCGCTGTCATTGGGGGCGTGGGTCTCTGCCGTTGATGAGTGGGTCTCTATCGTTGGGGGAGTGGGTCTCTGTCGTTGGGGGTAGTGGGTCTCTGTCGTTGGGGGAGTTGGTCTCTGTCGTTGGGGGAGTGGGTCTCTGTGGTTGGGGGAGTGGGTCTCTGTCGTTGGGTGAGTGGGTCTTTGTCATTGGGGAAGTGGGTCTCTGTCGTTGGGGGAGTGGGTCTCTGTCGTTGGGGGAGTAGGTCTCTGTCGTTGGGGAGTGGGTCTTGTCGTTGGGGGAGTGGGTCGCTGTCATTGGGAGCATGGGTCTCTGTCGTTGGGTGAGTGGGTCTCTGATGTTGGGGGAGTGGGTCTCTGTTGTTGGGGGAGTGGGTCTCTGTCTTATGGGGAGTGGGTCACTGTCGTTGGGGGAGTGGGTCTCTGTTGTTGGGGGAGTGGGTCGCTGTCATTGGGGGCGTGGGTCTCTGTCGTTGATGAGTGGGTCTCTGTCGTTGGGGGAGTGGGTCTCTGTTATTGTGGAAGTGGGTTTCTGTCGTTGATGAGTAGGTCTCTGTTATTAGGGTAGTGGGTCTCTGTCAATGAGTGATTGGGTCTCTGTCTTTGGGGGAGTGGGTCTCTGTCGTTGGGGAGTGGGTCTCTGTCGTTGGGGGGTGGGTCTCTGTCGTTGGGTTAATAGGTCTCTGTCGTTGAGGGATGTGTCTTTGTCGTTGGGGAGTGGGTCTTTGTCGTTGGGCGAGTGGGTCTCTGTCGTTGGGTGAGTGGGTCTCTGTCGTTGGGTGAGTGGGTCTCTGCCGTTGGGTGAGTGGGTCTCTGTCGTTGGGTGAGTGGGTCTCTGTCGTTGGGGGAGTGGGTCTCTGTTATTGTGGAAGTGGGTTTCTGTCGTTGATGAGTAGGTCTCTGTTATTAGGGTAGTGGGTCTCTGTTGTTGGGGGAGTGGGTCGCTGTCATTAGGGGCGTGGGTCTCTGTCGTTGATGAGTGGGTCTCTGTCTTTGGGGGAGTGGGTCTCTGTCGTTGGGGAGTGGGTCTCTGTCGTTGGGGGGTGGGTCTCTGTCGTTGGGGGAGTGGGTCTCTGTCGTTGGGGGAGTGGGTCTCTGTCGTTGGAGGAGTAAGTCTCTGTCGGTGGGGGAGTGGGTCTCTGTCGTTGGGGGAGTGGGTCTCTGTCGTTGGGGGAGTGGGTCTCGTCGTTGGGAGAGTCGGTCTCTGTCGTTGGGGGAGTGGGTCTCTGTTATTGCAGGAGTGGGTCGCTGTCATTGGGGGCGTGGGTCTCTGTCGTTGGGTGAGTGGGTCTCTGACGTTGGGGGAGTGGGTCTCTGTTGTTGGAAGAGTGGGTCTCTGTCGTTAGGGGAGTAGGTCTTTGTCGTTCGGGGAGTGGGTCTTTGTCGTTCGGGGAGTGGGTCTCTGTTATTGGGGTAGTGGGTCTCTGTCGTTGAAGAGTAGGTCTCTGTTATTAAGGTAGTGGGTCTCTGTCATTGGGGGAGTGGGTCTCTGTCGTTGGGGGAGTGGGTCTCTGTCGTTGGGGGAGTGGGTCTCTGTTGTTGGGGGAGTGGGTCGCTGTCATTGGGGGCGTGGGTCTCTGCCGTTGATGAGTGGGTCTCTATCGTTGGGGGAGTGGGTCTTTTGTCGTTGGGGGTAGTGGGTCTCTGTCGTTGGGGGAGTTGGTCTCTGTCGTTGGGGGAGTGGGTCTCTGTGGTTATGGGAGTGGGTCTCTGTCGTTGGGTGAGTGGGTCTTTGGCATTGGGGAAGTGGGTCTCTGTCGTTGGGGGAGTGGGTCTCTGTCGTTGGGGGAGTGGGTCTCTGTCGTTGGGGAGTGGGTCTCGTCGTTGGGGGAGTGGATCGCTGTCATTGGGAGCGTGGGTCTCTGTCGTTGGGGGAGTGAGTCTCTGTCGTTGGGTGAGTGGGTCTCTGATGTTGGGGGAGTGGGTCTCTGTTGTTGGGGGAGTGGGTCTCTGTCTTATGGGGAGTGGGTCTCTGTCATTGGGGGAGTGGGTTTCTGTCGTTAGGGGAGTAGGTCTTTGTCGTTGGGGGAGTGGGTCTCTGTTATTGGGGTAGTGGGTCTCTGTCGTTGATGAGTAGGTCTCTGGTATTAGGGTAGTGGGTCTCTGTCATTGGGGGAGTGGGTCTCTGTCGTTGGGGGAGTGGGTCTCTGTCGTTGGGGGAGTGGGTCTCTGTCGTTGGGGGAGTGGGTCTCTGTCGTTGGGGGAGTGGGTCTCTGTCGTTGGGGGAGTGGGTCTCTGTCGTTGGGGGAGTGGGTCTCAGTCGTTGAGGGAGTGGGTCTCAGTCGTTGGGGGAATGAGTCTCTGTCGTTGGGGGAGTGGGTCTCTGTCGTTGGGTGAGGGGTCTCTGTCGTTGGGGGAGTGGGTCTCTGTCGTTGGGGGAGTGGGTCTCTGTCGTTGGGGAAGTGGGTCTCTATCGTTGATGAGTAGGTCTGATATTAGGGTAGTGGGTCTCTGTCAGTGAGGGATTGGGTCTCTGACTTTGGGGAAGTGGGTCTCTGTCGTTGGGGAGTGGGTCTCTGTCGTTGGGGAGTGGGTCTCTGTCGCTGGGGGAGTGGGTCTCTGTCGTTGGGGGAGTTGGTCTCTGCCGTTGATGAGTGGGTCTCTGTCGTTGGGGGAGTGGGTCTCTGTCGTTGGGGGAGTGGGTCTCTGTCGTTGGGGGAGTGGGTCTCTGTCGTTGGGGGAGTGGGTCTCTGTCGTTGGGGGAGTGGGTCTCTGTCGTTGGGGGAGTGGGTCTCTGTCGTTGATGAGTAGGTATCTGGTATTATTGTAGTGGGTCTCTGTCATTGGGGGAGTGGGTCTCTGTCGTTGGGGGAGTTGGTCTCTGCCATTGATGAGTGGGTCTCTGTCGTTGGGGGAGTGGGTCTCTGTCGTTGGGGGAGTGGGTCTCTGTCGTTGAGGGAGTGGGTCTCTGTCGTTGGGGGAATGAGTCTCTGTCGTTGGGGGAGTGGGTCTTTGTCGTTGGGGGAGTGGGTCTCTGTCGTTGGGTGAGTGGGTCTCTGTCGTTGGGGGAGTGGGTCTCTGTCGTTGGGGAAGTGGGTCTCTGTCGTTGATGAGTAGGTCTGATATTAGGGTAGTGGGTCTCTGTCATTGAGGGATTGGGTCTCTGACTTTGGGGAAGTGGGTCTCTGTCGTTGGGGAGTGGGTCTCTGTCGTTGGGGAGTGGGTCTCTGTCGCTGGGGGAGTGGGTCTCTGTCGTTGGGGGAGTGGGTCTCTGTCGTTGATGTGTGGGTCTCTGTCGTTGGGGGAGTGGGTCTCTGTCGTTGGGGAGTGGGTCTCTGTCGTTAGGGAGTGGGTCTCTGTCGTTGCAGGAGTGGGTCACTGTCGTTGGGGTAGTGGGTCTCTGTCGTTAGGAGAGTGGGTCTCTGTCGTTGGGGAAGTGGGTCTCTGTCGTTGGGGGAGTGGGTCTCGTCGTTGGGGGAGTGGGTCTCTGACGTTAGGGGAGTGGGTCTCTGTCGTTGTGGAGCGGGTCTCTGTCGTTGGGGGAGTAGGTCTATGTCGTTGGGGGAGTGGGTTTCTGTCTTTGGGGAGCCGGTCTCTGTCGTTGGGGGAGTGGGTCTATGTCGTTGGGGGAGTGGGTCTCTGTCGTTGGGGGAGTGGGTCTCTGACGTTGTAGGAGTGGTTCTCTGTTATTGGGGGAGTGGGTCTCTGTCGTTGGAGGAGTGGGTCTCAGTCGTTCGAGGAGTGGGTCTTTGTCGTTGAGGAGTGGGTCTCTGTCGCTGGAGGAGTGGGTCTCTGTCGTTGGAGGAGTGGGTCTCTGTCGTTGAGGAGTGGGTCTCTGTCGTTGAAGGAGTGGGTCTCTGTCGTTGGGGGAGTGGGTCTCTGTCGTTGAGGAGTGGGTCTCTGTCGTTGGGTGAGTGGGTCTCTGTCGTTGGGTGAGTGAGTCTCTGTCGTTGGGTGAGCGAGTCTCTGTCGTTGGGTGAGTGGGCCTCTGTCGTTGGGGAGTGGGTCTCTGTCGTTGAGGAGTTGGTCTCTGTCGTTGGGTGAGTGGGCCTCTGTCGTTGGGGGAGTGGGTCTGTCGTTGGGCAATGGGTCTCTGTCGATGGGTGAGTGGGTCTCTGTCGATGAGGGAGTGGGTCTCTGTCGAATGGGGAGTGGGCCTCTGTCGTTAGGGGAGTGGGTCTCTGTCGTTGGGGAGTGGGTTTCTGTAGTTGAGGGATGGGTCTCTGTCGTTGGGTTAGTGGGCCTGTGTCGTTAGGGGAGTGGGCCTCTGTCGTTAGGGGAGTGGGCCTCTGTCGTTAGGGGAGTGGGCCTCTGTCGTTAGGGGAGAGGGTCTCTGTCGTTGGGGTAATGGGTCTCTATCGTTGGGGAAATGGGTCTCTATCGTAGGGGGATGGGGAATATATCTCTATCGCTGGCGGAGTGGGTCTCTATCGTAGGGGGATGGGGAATATATCTCTGTCGTTAGGGGAGTGGGCCTCTGTCGTTGGGGAGTGGGTCTCTGTCGTTGGGGAAGTGGGTCTTTGTCGTTGGTGAGTGGGTCTTTGTCGTTGGAGAGTGGGTCTTTGTCGTTGGAGAGTGGGTCTTTGTCGTTGGAGAGTGGGTCTTTGTCGTTGGAGAGTGGGTCTCTGGTGATGGGGTGTTACTATGTGCATTAAATAATATTTTTTCTTTTATTTTTTAAAGTTTTTATTCCATACTAGCTGTATGCGGCCACAGCAACCTTTCCCTGTCACCTAGTCCCCTCCCCCATCCTCCCCCCCCCCCTGTCTCTTCGTCCTCCCAGCCATTCCTCACTCCCCCATCCCTTCGTCCTCCCAACCATTCCTCACTTCCCCGTCCCCTCGTCCTCCCAACCATTCCCCACTCCCCCAACTCTCTCGTCTTTCCCACTATTCCCTCTCCCCCGTCCCTTTGCCTTCCCACCCCAGCATCCCCTCGTGCTCCTAACCATTCCCCATTCCATTGTCCCCTCGTCCTCCTCACCATCTCTCACTTCCCTGTCACCTGGTCCTCCCCAACATCCCTCACTCCCGTTCCCTAATCCTCCCCAGCATTCCCAAATCCCTCGTCCAATGCATTTCCATATGATCTGATGTTTTCATCAGAAAATTAAGAACATCAATTGATGTGATGTTCCCATCACTGAAATATAACAAAACAGTTAAAAAAAAAATATGAAAAAAAAAATATTGAAAACTAAACTCACGAAATGAACGGTATAGTAAACAACACAGCTCAATTCGAAGGCAATGTCACACAAAGTAGATAAAAAAAAATCTAAATCAATGAAAATTCAATTTGTCAATAAAATCTGAAACGTTGAAATGGAATTGTAACATATTTAGTATAGCGTGTGTTGCTCTTACATGCAACAGATGGCACTGTTTTTCAAAAAAGCATGTTTTTACCTGTCTCAGGTGTAGCATCTATACTTATAGTCACGAAATTAATGGTATGGTAAACAACTCTGCTTAATTCCAACGTAATGTCACACAAAAAAATTAAATCACAATGAAAATAAATCTAAATCTATGAAAATTCAATTTGTCAATGCAATTGGAAACATTGAAATGGAAACATAACATATTTAGTATAGCAACGTATTTGATGTAAGGATCAAGCTGGTGTTTTTGATGTAAGAGTTGCTTTTACATGCAACAGATGCCGCTATTTAAAAAAAATATTTTTACCTGTCACAGGTGTGGCATCTATACTTATACTTACAAAATGAATGGTATGGAAAACACAGCTCAATTCCAATGCAATGTCACACAAAATAATTAAATCAAAATGAAAATAAATCTAAATCTATGAAAATTAAATTTATCAATGAAATCATAAACATTGAAATAGAATCCTAACATATTTAGTATAGCATGTGTGCATTTGTTGCTCTTACATGCAACAGATGGCACTGTTTAAAAAAAAAAACATTTTTTACCTGTGTTACGGCCACTATGGGTCGCAACCGGGTTCTTGATCGATGACCCTAAGTAATAGTATCCGACCCCAAGTCGGTAGTGGCTTTCAAGGAGTTGGCTAGGTAATGCAATAAATAAAAATGGGGAGGTGAAATGAACACAACTCTCAATCCTTTATCAATATATTCACTTAACTTATTGACACTTTCCCGTCACCTTAAATATAAAATATAAAATGAAATATTATTACTACACGTGGATATTTACATGTGTCGCTCTCACATAAGACACTGAGCACTCCTCGATGCTAACACGATGCAGCCTTTGTCAACTTCCGTGTTTCCTCAACACACAGTACCGTCCTCAACCAGTACTGGGAACCACCAACGAGTCTACCCTAGCCATGGGCCAGCCTACCGACAGTATCACTAGATGCCTCTAATGATTGCCCACAATCACTCTCCAGCCAAATGCTGGCAGAGATCCTCAGCCACGCTCTGATTGGGGCCACTATACCAATCAATACAGAGGTATCGCACCCCTGGCAGGAGCCTCTAGCGACAGGCAAACAATGCTCGTCCAAAGACACCCAACTGTCGGTCGTCTCTTCCTTCGCCAGTCCCAGGTTACGCCAAATCCTTTCACTGCCACTCTACTGGCAGAAAGCAGAAACCACACAGTTCTTCTTCGGCGGTGGCTCACTTAGTCGTCAGGCGGAACTAAGTAGGAAGAGATAAGGCTGCCCAAGGTAGATTGCCTTTCTTCGTACCACTGCAGCCCCACGTCATCAGTTCTAGGGTATGGGAGACATTAGGGAGCAACACTTACTCATTTGAAAATTGACATTTATGCTCGTAGTGATCACAGATGGCGCTAGTCTTGAATTGCCCCATCACCAGAGGTCACTCACTACGACCTCACTGGTTACTCAAGGCAGGAATCTAGAGCCGATTACACCTACTACGCCACCCCCAATAGATGCCGTTGTCCAGGTAGAGTCCAACTGCATGGGGGGTTTAGAGAGACGACCCACAGATGGCGCGGACGTCGCTACTCCCTACTCCGATGATGTTGTCGGGTTTATAACACCAGTCACAGGTGTGGCATCTATACTTATACTCCCGAAATGAACGGTATGGTAAACAAAACAGCTCAATTTCAATGCAATGTCAAACAAAATAATTAAATAAAAATGAAAATGATACTAAATCTGTGAAAATTAAATTGTCAATGCAATCGGAAACAATGAAATGGAATCAAAACATTTAGCATAGCATGTGTTGCTATTACGTGCAACAGATGGCGCTGTTTAAAAGAAACACGCGTTTTTATCTCTCACAGGTGTGGCATGTATATAGTAGGTATATAAAAACACGCACATATTTGAATGGAACATTGTGTCAAAATTTCAAAACAATCGGTAAACAGGTTTCCTAGATCTCCCACACATGAAAAACACAGTGTGTCAAAAAAGCATGTTTTTCCCCCGTCACAGACGAGACATCTATATAGTTTATATATATAAAAACATGCTCGGAAGCAAATGGAACATTGTGTCAAAATTTCAAAGTTATCGGTAAAGAACTTTTGGAGATTACAGCATGTGTTGCTCTTATGTCCAACAGATGACTCTGTTTTTCAAAAAAGCACGTTTTTTCTTGTCACAGGTGAGGCATATATATAGTAGGCATACAAAAACACGCACCTCTTCAAATGCAATGTTGTGTCAAAATTTCAGAGCAATCGGTAAAGAAGTTTCTAAGATTTCCCTAACACGAAAAACACATGAAAAACACAGTGTCAAAAAGCATGTTTTTTCCACGGCACAAACGAGATATCTATATAGTATGAATACAAAAACCTGCTCGGATGCGAATGGAACGTTGTGTGAAAATTTCAAAGCAATCGGTGAAGAACTTTCGGAGATTTTGAACAAACGAACATTTCCATTTCCATCTATATATATATATATATATATATATATATATATATATATATATATATATATATATATATATATATATATATATATATATATATGTCGTACCTAATAGCCAGAACGCACTTCTCAGCCTACTATTCAAGGCCCGATTTGCCTAATAAGCCAAGTTTTCATGAATTAATGTTTTTTCGTCTACCTAACCTACCTAACCTAACCTAACCTAGCTTTTTTTGGCTACCTAACCTAACCTTACCTATAAATATAGGTTAGGTTAGGTTAGGTAGGGTTGGTTAGGTTCGGTCATATATCTACATTAATTTTAACTCCAATAAAAAAAAATTGACCTCATACATAGAGAAAAGGGTTGCTTTATCATTTCATAAGAAAAAAATTATAGTAAATATATTAATTCAGGAAAACTTGGCTTATTAGGCAAATCGGGCCTTGAATAGTAGGCTGAGAAGTGAGTTCTGGCTACTAGGTACGACATATATATATATATATATATATATATATATATATATATATATATATATATATATATATATATATATATATATATATATATATATATATATATATATATATATATATATATTAGTATATTTTGGTAGCAGTCTTTCCTGTAGACATATATTATTAAATATGACCGAAAAAGTAAGATTAATAATTCTACCACGAATTTTCTCAATCTTTCGTACATTTCTTTTCACTGTTGGAGGTAAATCAAAAATCAATTCTCCAAAATTCATTTTTATTTCTAGTCTGACGCGACACGAGCGCGTTTCGTAAAACTTATTACATTTTCAAAGACTAGTTTACAAATACACAACTGAATAGAACTTACGCATCTCCTATTTTATATCTACACTTGAGAGAGGTGGATGGGGTGAGGTGGCATTAATAGGGTATTAATTTCATCAACACAAGACAGAACAAGAGGTGGTATTAATAGGGTATTAATTTCATCAACACAAGACAGAACACGAAACAATGGGTATTGAATAGATGTGATTGCAGAAAGCCTATTGGTCCATATTTCTTGATGCTTCTATATTGGAGCAGAGTCTTGAGGTGGGTAGAATATAGTTGTGCATTAATTGGCTGTTGACTTCTTGATGTGTAGTGCCTCGCAAACGTCAAGCCGCCTGCTATCGCTGTATCTATCGATGATTTCTGTGTTGTTTACTAGGATTTCTCTGGCGATGGTTTGGTTGTGGGAAGAGATTATATGTTCCTTAATGGAGCCCTGTTGCTTATGCATCGTTAAACGCCTAGAAAGAGATGTTGTTGTCTTGCCTATATACTGGGTTTTTTGGAGCTTACAGTCCCCAAGAGGGCATTTGAAGGCATAGACGACGTTAGTCTCTTTTAAAGCGTTCTGTTTTATGTCTGGAGAGTTTCTCATGAGTAGGCTGGCCGTTTTTCTGATTTTATAGTAAATCGTCAGTTGTATCTTCTGATTTTTGTCTGTAGGGATAACGATTCTATTAACAATATCTTTCAGGACCCTTTCCTCCGTTTTATGAGCTGTGGAAAAGAAGTTCCTGTAAAATAGTCTAATAGGGGGTATAGGTGTTGTGTTAGTTGTCTCTTCAGAGGTTGCATGGCGTTTCACTTTCCTTCTTATGATGTCTTCCACGAAACCATTGGAGAAGCCGTTGTTGACTAGGACCTGCCTTACCCTACAGAGTTCTTCGTCGACTTGCTTCCATTCTGAGCTGTGGCTGAGAGCACGGTCGACATATGCGTTAACAACACT